GCCATCAGTCAGGGGAAGGGAGGATGTGACAGGTAAAGGGAACAGCATGGCCAGGCAGTGAGACAAGTAGTGAGAGTGAGGCTTAGCCCTAACTGGCATACTCAGTGGTTAGTGCATCAGCCTGCAGACTGATGATCTTGGGTTCGATTCTAGTCAAGTGCACATACCTCTGTTGCAGGCTCGATCCCTGGCCCTGATCAGGGCACCTGCGGGAGGCAACCATTCGACGTGTCTCTTGTATTGATGTTTCTCTCTCCCCCGCCCTTCCACTCTCTCTAAAAAAAATTCAGTGGAAAAAATACTCTCCCGTAAAGGTTAACAAACAAACAAACAAAAGAGTGAGGCTTGAACACTCTTGGTGCTTGCTTGAGCCAGCAGTGCTGTGGTATGTCATAGCGAGCAGTGAGTGAGTGTTGGAGGAGGCTCTGAGGGAGAGGAGGCTGGAGCGGGGTAAGCAGGGGCTAGGTTGAGGAGGGACTTGTTTGCTGCAAATTGAAGGGACGTGCTCAAGAGGCAGGATGTTGTTCTGTTGGCCATTCAAGAGTTTCAGGGGAATAACTTGGTCACATTGTATTTTGGAGACTCTTCTGTTGCTTCCTGGTGTGTGTAGGGCTGACCCAGAAGCCTGGAGACCGATTTCATGGGTGATTTCTAGAGTAAGGCCAGGGGAACAGACCAAGGAAGCTTGGTGAGTGAGTGACATGCGTGAGAACAGAAGTCAGGCTGATAGATTTTAGAGATTGTCCCCATTTCAGGAGAGAGAGAGGGTGATTTATGTAACCACTGCCAATTCTTTCATTAAATTTCTAACAAGAATTAATAAAAATCCTATCTTCTCAGCATTTTAACCAAATATCTGGTCCCGATAGGAAAGGGAAGGCTGTCTCTTTAAGTGTTGACCTAATTATTCTAGCAGTGCCAGGGAGTTGTGAAACATTTGTGGGAGGGAGAGGCTGGGTTTTTTTGACACCAGGCAACACCCTCCGACCAGTTTAGCTTTGCTCAAACAAGAGTAGGTAGACTGAGAAGCAGGGTTGTACATTGAAATAAAAGATTTCAGCTCTTAGGCCTTTTAAAAAACTCTTTTCTTTTTAAGGAACCTTCCATTAAAGAAACCCTACATTAAGTGATTTCCAAACTTTTTGTAATTTGATTCCTTTTCCAGCTGAAGTTTCAAGATTCTTCCCCATTAGGGAGAATGGTCTGTAAAACCACACAGAGAACGCAACGGATTGATTGAGCGCCACCTGCTGGTTTTATTTTAATAGGCAAAGAGGTAGTGCTTGGAAATCTTTAAGAATGTGCATACATCTTAGTGTTACAAAATCATGAAGCTGGAAGTCAAGGTGAATTTTGATGATCGTTAATAGCAATATTTTAATTAATTGCTTTGTGTAGCGTTAGGAAAGGCAGTGCTGTACAAATGAAGAAGGCAGGTTCTAGGGATTTCACTCACCCATGTTTTTGTCTGGCAAAGGATTAGCCTGATGGAAATAAAAGGTAACGTTACATGTCAAATATTTTCTAACATTGAAATCAACCGGTCTGTGTATCTGGAATGAATTTAGTTTATGCCAAAAGCTAGCATTTTCTCTAAGTGGTTTCCTTGTCTATTCTCGTTTTCCTTGTTACGATACTGCTGTGAGATTAAACCTTTCTAGAACATTTGCTGCTTACAACATGGCATTTTCTGCCCCGCTTCCCCCAATTTCCTCCCAGCACATACCACACAAAGCTGTATTTTTTCTTGTCCATTTAGGTTAAAGTACAAATCGTTCTTTATTTTAAAAAATTGGAAAACATAGGAAAGCATGGAGTATATTAAAGTTGGCCGCAATCACTGTTTAGGAATAACGGCTATTAAAATTTTGGTGTCTACTTTTCCTTTTTTCCAAGTGTGTGTTTTGAGCATTTGCTACATATTCTAGACAAAAGGGACAGTTCAATGAATAAAACATGCTCATATGGGGCTTAATACTGATAAATAATATTTATTTATTGAGATGTAGCTGACATATAACATTATTTTAGGTATACAGCATAATGATTTTGGTGTGTGTATGTAATTTGAAATGGTCCCCACAATAAATGTAGTGAATACATCCATTACCACATACAGTTGCAGCATTTAAAAAATAAATATTTTTATTGATTCCAGAGAGGCAGAGAAGAAAAGAGCTGAAATAGTTATGTAACAACTGTTTGAATGTGTTTTCATTGTATTTATGTTCCCCCTGTTGTTTTAAGGTTCTATTTCATTGATTGCCTGCCTCCTGCATGCCACACACTTGAGGATCAAGACCACCATCTGGGCATGTGCCCTTGACCGAAATCGAATCCAGGACCTGTCAGTCCACAGGCCGAGGCTCTATCCACTGAGCCAAACCGGCTAGGGCTGCAGCATTTTTTTAATTATAACTTTTAAGATCTCTCTCCTTGGAACTTTGAAATATATAATGCAGTGTTCTTAACTAGCTAAAACTACGGGCATCATGCTGTCCATTGCCTCTGTTGTAAGAATAACACTCTGTTTCTTGAGTTGAGATTATTGGGGAAGTAGAGGCGTAGATGCATTCTCTTCTGGGGTTGGGTCCAGCTAATATGTTAATCAAGAACGTCTTGAAAGTTGCCCTTGTTAATAAGTGTATCTGTTGTAGTTAGAAACGTGACGGACTTGTAAACTGGGCGGCCAGATTGATTTATCTATCTATTCCACGGGGGCTGGCCTTCCTTAGGCAGCAAAATCATTTGCCAAGGGTATCCCTCAAGGAGGGTGTAGTTAAAGGAACCCCCTCAGTAGAAATTCTTCCTTAGGATCTGGTTTTCGTTTTTATATTTTAATCACCACTCCACTTGCTTAATCTTTCAAGGCCATCTGAAGTAATAGTAGGTGCCTGGTACTTCAGCAGTAAAATGGGAGTCACGTGGTGGAAAGTCAGAGTAAGAATTTTTGTTATTTACTGTCAGTGACTTTATCAGAATGCAGGGGAAGCAGGGACTTTAAATCCAGGCCCCCTTGGAATCCATTTCAAGTGGCTTTGAAGTGCCTGAGCCTTCTGTGTTCCATTCCACTTCATATTTGGGGTAGTTTGACTTAGTGTAAAAAAAAAAAGAAACTAATAAATACAGCCATGAAAGCAATTTGAAACTAACTTACTTGTGCCTTGGGAATGAAGAAAGGTCGCTAGTGCGAGCTCCGTAAAAGGATTTCAGCTACCTATGAACCGATTCTCCTGTCTCCCGTTAAAAGAAGGGAGAACCTGGAGAGAAAATCCTTGATCTAGAAAAGGAAGCCATGTTCTTAGAATTCAGGTTAGATATCTAAGTGAGAAAAACTTCTTTTCTGCAAAAGTCCACATTGTAAATAATTTAGGTTTGAGGACCAGGGAGTCTGGAACAACCACTCAACACTGCTGTGCCCGCCCTTCTAGTGCAAACGTAGCCATAGACAGCATGTAAGCAGATGGGTGTGGCTGTGCTTCAATAAAACTTTATTTTTTTAAATATATTTTTATTGATTTCAGAAAGGAAGGGAGAGGGAGAGATAGAGACATCAATGATATGTGTCGTTTGTTCTGGCTTCGTACTGCTGTATTCTACAGATCTGAGCGCCTCCCTGGCACAGGGCTTTGGGGAGTGTTCTGTGCTGTGTTTCCACAACCAACCTATTGCCGCATTTCTGTTACCAGCCTGATCCTAGGTTTGACTTTAGTGTTCAGTGTTTGATAAAACACTACCTGCTCTGCTCTGTTCTGCTGCTGAGCTTGGTTAGCTGTGGCCACAGGGTGGCGTGGTTCTCCTGTAGGCGCGGCTCTCTTGTTGCTAAAATGGAAAGGCTTAAAACATTCTGTAAGTAAGGAGAATTCTGTCCCCTACTTAACATGGCCTGGCTTTCTCTGAATTGGTTTTCCCGCCGTCGTTATTAAGATTTACATAATACTGAACTGCAGTGCTTTAAATCTCAGCGCTTTAACATTTCTTGTGTATGGTTACAACATGAATTATATAATGTTGATGATTGGGAGAATGGTAGTTAGGGCTGTATTTCATAGAATAGGTTTAGTTTAGCCACTGACCTCAATTTAAAAAATTAACATATAAAACTAATAAAAGAATCTCTAAATAGTTGCAGAGTCGTGAGCAGAGTTATTGGCCCGAGATTTCTGTCTGCCTCCACGAGTTTAGTAGTGGGGTGTGTAAAGCAGAGAGGGCTTCCAGATGCTCAGGAAACGCGACTTGTAAGAAAAACAACCCTCCCCATCCTTATAGATTAAGAATATCATCATAAAGCTGATGTGTTCCAAGAGTTTTTCTATAAACGGTGGGGCAAAAGTAGGTTTACAGTTGTTCGTATAGTTAATAAATAATAATACAAGAATGAACTGTGCTTTGCCTACTCACACCTGTAAACCCCCTTTGGCCACATCCTGTTTTAGCTGCAAGGAGAGAGGTGTTATCTTCATTTATGTGCCCAGGCTTATGCTCTTTGCACTCGACCGTTACCAGGCCAGCGCTGGCAGACGCCCCTGCCCTTGCTGGGAATGGTGGGCTGGGTAATGATTTCTGGGGGCCTAGGATTTAGAGGATTACTCCTGCAGCTGGAACCCAGGGTTAAGGGTGATTCAGCATAGGCCTCCTCCATCCTCTCCGCCTTATTTTTGGATTCGTCTTCATTTCTCTCCCCTCTCCCATTCCAATTTGTCAAGATTTAAATATACCATCTGATATCTTGTTAGTTTACTTATTTGTCTAATTAGCTGCCATAAAATGTAAGCCTAAAGGGGACAGAAGTCTTCTTTTTGGGTCACTTTGTATTCTCAGTGCCTAGAATATTGACTGCACGCCAGTGTTCAGTCCGTGTTTGTGTTTGTGTAAACCTCCTAGAATGGGGCACAGTTGAGATGATTCATGCGATTTTGCCTTAATCGTGGTGTTTTGTAAACATAGACTCCCAAGAGGAACCCTACTAATGCCTCCTTGCTCATCTCTCCCTTTCCTAGGGCGACTGTGTTGTTACTGTATTGCTCGCTGAAGAGGACAAAGTTGAGGATGATGTAGTGTTTTACTTGGTGTTTTTGGGTTCTACCCTCCATCACTGTACAAGTACCCGGAAGGTCAGCTCTGATACGCTGGAGACCATTACTCCTGGTGAGTATTTGCGTGGAATCTTCACTAGCCTTTACCAGTTCTCGAACACTTTTATTCTGTGTTCACTAGTATGGCGCGATGGGAAGAGTGAATCAGGGTGACAGAACTATGGTCACATCTTTATTTTTAAATAAATTTTTAAATTAACTATTTCGATCATACCTTGCTTGTTCCACAAAAATTGGAGCCTAACTAAAAATAAATGAAATAAAATGAAAAGCTAAAAACCAGGCTTAGCAAAACTATTAATTTATTGGAATGCTGAGGACTGGGGAAACGAAAGCTCACGCGAAGGTGGACGCTCTCACGTGGTCACGTGGTCACAGGTGAGACTGCACATCTGGTTCTGTCACAGAGGTCCAAACAGCACCAACACATTCCTCAGTATCCGTGGGGGGAAGCTTGAAAAAGCTCCATAAGAGCCGGACTTGCCCCAAATTAACAAATTATAGCCATGGTAGAACGAGTACTTTTTTGCTGTTACATTTATAATTTTAACAGAGTTAAAAGAAAAATGTTTACTTACTATTTTTTTTTTTTACAAAGTTGTTGCTGTATCCACAGAAATGGCTGATAAAATAATGGCTACCTCTTGACATAGCCTAACACCTGAAGATGCATTGATTTGTGTTTGGGGATGAGCTGCTTGCCTTAATTGACCTTGTTTCAGTGTTAATAATTGGCCAGTTTATCAGAAAACAAAAGCAGACACATCGGGGGGAATCTCTACAAAGTGTTGACAATTGAACTATTTTTCTTTAGAGAATAAAATAGATTTAATTGTAATGGAAACATTTCTTTTTACTAGTGTTTTTATATAACCCTGTTTTTATATATTCCACTTTATTAAAATAAATGCTGTAAAAAATTATCCAATATCTGGTCTTGCCAGTATTGAATCAGATTGCCAGTTTTTTGTTGCTGGGCCATTTTATATAAGTTAACTTCATATCTGATACTTACCAAATCCTGGAAATTTTACCACATTCAAGAACTGGGATAATGACAGTTGAAATCTGTATTTATCCTTCTACTTGGCAAAAACGATTTTTAAAAGTATAGGATTTAAAGATTCTGGGCAATTGCGTGAATATTTTCCCCCCAAATTTTAGGGAGAGGAAATTTAGCAAGGACTTCAGGATAGATACTGATTTCTTTCTAAAGAGTATTAGGTGTCCTTCTCTGTAATTTGAAGCGGCACTCCTCTTGTTTCCTGTGATGTGTATCATGTCCCAAAGGCTGATCTGGAGGTGGAGGGCTGCGCACTAGCAGGTTCCTGTAGTGTCACCACTGGCTAGCATTTTTGTATGCGGGGTGATGGGGAGCAGCTCCTCAGCGGGGAGTATCTGATTGAGAAAGGCACGGAGGCAATTTTTATAAAATTATTCCTTCCTGAAGTATGCACACTTTAGGAGTAAAAGTTTGCGGGGGGCGGGGGGGGGGAGAAAGAGAAAGCATCACCCACAAGGCGAATGCAAGTAGCTGTAAGAGAAAGGACAAATGTAATGGGTGTAGCCTTGGGCCCTTGCTGAGATCCTCAGTCACGAGTACCAGGAGAGTCTGGCCTCTTGGTTGGAGTGGATATGCCCCCAGGTCCTTCACCTTCACTGGTATGTGATTTTTAAAAAAAATTTATTTTTTATTTCAGAGAGAAAGGGAGAGGGAGGGAAATGGAGAGAGAAACATCAATGATGACAGAGAATCATGGATCGGCTGTCTCCTGCACCCCCCACACTGGGGATGGAGTCCGCAACCCGGGCACATACCCTGACCGGGAATCGAACCGTGACCTCCTGGTTCATAGGTCGACACTCACCCACTGAGCCACGCTGGCTGAGCAGGCATGTGATTTTTGTCAGTGTGGGTCACTGGTGTACACTAAGAAAGGCTTGTGTTCGGAGTCCCTGCCACGCCATGGCACGGTGTTCTCACTGTGTCCCAATTCATTCTGGTTCTTAGCAGTCACTCTTTGAGAAAGCTGTGCACTTGTGCAGGACACAGACACGCACACACCCGTGGGCACACACACCTGTACTCTTCCATTTGAAAAATGCAAAGGAGCCTCTTCTTTCTTGAATTGAGTTGTTGGCTCGGGCAGGAGCCTGTGCCCGCTTTCCAGAGCTGCCTTTGACCGTCTCTGTGTGTCAGTGAGCCCACCGACAGCCTCCGATTTCCTCTCTGCTGAGGGCGGCGTCAGATCAGTCAGGACGCTTCATGGAAAGTCTGTGCTTGCCTGTGCCCCCCAGTTCCTGGACAGATGTGCGGTCTGTCTGCGTGCTCTCTGCGTGCTCTGTGCTCACGTGTGGGACCGGCTCTGCAGTCCTGGTCAGTTTGCTGACTACGGGACGAAAAAGAGCTTTGTGCCTTGTTCTTGCTGTTCATGTCACGTTTCACACCGACTGCTGGCTCTGGTGTCTCTTTAGAGTTTTCTGTGTTTTGCTGACCATGTTTTGTAATATTTTTGTTTTTACTAACGAGATGATTGATTGACCTTCCAAAGGCAGTGACTCCCTGATGGTAGTCTCTAATCTTTTATTTGGAGGGGAACAAGACATTTCTAAATTGTCTCCTTAAAACACACACACACACACATACACACACCTCGCCCTGGCTGGTTTGGCTCAGTGGATAGAGCGTCGGCCTGCGCACCAAAGGGTTCCAGGTTGAATTCCGGTCAAGGGCACATTCCTGGGATGCAGACTCGGTCCAATGTCCAGGAGGCAGCCAATCAATGATTCCCTCTCATCATAGATGTTTCTGTCTGTCTCTCCCTCGCCCTCCCTTTCTGAAATCAATAAAAATATATTTAAAACACACACACACACACACACACACACACACACACACACAAACACACCTCTTTGACTTAGGATATTGAGATTATTTCTTCTATTTTCTCACTGTTTTGCTTGTTTCCTGGTGAGAAGTTTGTGTTTGTTTATAAAGAACTTGTAAAGGATTTTAAAAGTAATTATTTCTTCTTTTTTTAAGTATATTTTTATTGATTTCAGAGAGAAAGGAAGAGGGAGAGAGAAACATCAGTGATAAGAGAGAATTATTGATTGGCTGCCTCCTGCACACCCCCTACTGAGTCATACCAGCCGAGCAAAAGTAATCTTTTCTTGACTTGCCTACAGTTGAAAGACTGTGGTGCTCGGCCAGTGTGGTTCAGTGGTTGAGTGTCGACCTATGAACCAGGAGGTCATGGTTTGATTCCCAGTCAGGGCACATGCCCGGTGAAGGGCATGCAGGAGGCAGCCGATCCATGATTCTCTGTCATCATTGATGATTCTATCTCTCTCTCCCTCTACTTGCCTCGTAGAAATCAATTAAAATATATTTTTAATGGGGTGCTCGGCCAGTGTGGTTCAGTGGTTGAGTGTCGACCTATGAACCAGGAGGTCATGGTTTGATTCCCAGTCAGGGCACATGCCCGGTGAAGGGCATGCAGGAGGCAGCCGATCCATGATTCTCTGTCATCATTGATGTTTCTATCTCTCTCTCCCTCTACTTCCCTCTTAGAAATCAATTAAAATATATTTTTAGAAATACTCATGTACATACAAACACGGTTTACACACCAAATTTGGGCATCTGTCATTAGGCTACCAAAAACTTGTAGGGGTGCATACTTGTGCATATCATCTCATCTGGTAGAGTCTTGGTCTGAAGACTAAAGATTTCCTTTAACCCTGGTTAGCCACTTCAAAGGGAAGAAAAAGACACTATTTTTCTATTTTCCACCATTGACTAATAATGCAGCCTTTCTGTGTGGAGGTGTGCAGAGTGTGCGTCTGGGCTTGACTGAGCCAGCAAGCCCTTCAGGGTTCCTTTCTGGAGAGCCAGCCGGTCAAACAAAGTCCCCATTGTTCCATCTCCAGCAGAGAAGGCCCGGATGGGATGTGTGCCGCTTTTAGCTTAACAGGAAATGAAGTCATTCTTGGGCCGTGCTGCAGCTGTTTGTTTATCTGTAGCAATATTTCGTTTCCATGGCGACGGCCGCTTCATGGAGTGATAAGAGACCCATGGAAAAGCTCTTCCACCCTCAGGAGCACACACCTCCTGACCTGCAGGCTAAAAAAAGGTTTAGGTTGGATGCTTTGCAGAGGACCGTCAGCAGTTAAATTTTGTTTCTCTCTCGTGTTTTTGTTTATTCTGCATTCTTCCCCTTCCCTTAATTTTTTCAGTTCTGCCAAAGGCAACACGCAGCTCAGAAGCTTCATTGGGCCATTTACACAGCTCTTTGCAGATTCCTAGGGCTGTTTTCTGGAGCAGGAGCATTTAGTAATGAATAATAATAACTAACAATTTTAGGTACCTGTATTATGTCTGGTGATAGCATACCTTTGTGCAAACGGGCTTCATGGTTGAATGACTTTTTCAGGAAAACCCAGGCTGTCTGCCATGGAGGGTGAGATTCAAAATTAATATTTTCTGACTCTACAGCTGCTGCTTTAGCACCCCTTCCGTTTATTTCATCCAGTTAGGAACAGCCCTCTCCCACCCATAATTGACTTTATATTTCTATTGTAAATGAGCGGGACCTGCCTATGGGATAACTTCAGAAGGCCGTGTCGGTCATGTTTCTTTAACAGCTTAGTTCTCTTCTTTCCCTCCGAATCCCCTGGGCGAACTTCCCTCAGAAGAAGCACAGCCAGTTTCTCAGAACTTCCCTTTTTAAAAAGACCCGTGATTTTTATTTTCCTTCGTTACTAGAGAATTGAGTGGAAGGAAAACACCACGGAATTGGCTGGGACCTTGCTACTCTTCTCTCCATTGCAGCTTCTGTTTCACATAAAAAGAAGTTAAATGGTGATTATCGTATTGGATTGGCCATTTTGGAATTGGATATTACATTGAATTGGCTATGCAGTGTAGATGTAGACACCGTGCATTTCTGTGCACGAAGGCACTTAGGAAATGAATGGCCCATGCAGAAGTCATGGCTCCAGAGCTAATTTATGGCAGCCAGAGGTCTTCTGTGTGCATATGCAGTGATGTTACTTTATTGTATTATAGACCCATATCACCTTGTTTTGAAAGTGTTGATTTTTTTCTCTAGATGCTTCATCTGAAAGGGTAGAAGGATTAAAAAATAATCTTAAGAAGCACTTGAGCCTAATAGGAAACATTAATGTGAGAGGGGCGCCCGGCCAGCCTCGTGTGGTTGGATCCAGACGGCAGGGTGAGGCACTTTATTCTTCATCAGTAGTAACTCTCCCAATTTACTCCGTTTAGCGAAGACTAATCCAGGAAACCGTCCGTTCTCCAGTCCTCTTTGAATCCTCAGTTTTTCTTTTGAAAAAGAAGCAGGCCTATAATCATATCAAACAAATTCCAGATTTATGGCACTGTTCGCTTAAGATGATTCATAGTTTCTCCTCTAGATCGTGAGTTCACGTCTGAAGGGGAAATACTGGGCCATCAGATGGCTTCTCGTACATATCCCTGTCATGGCCTTTTCTGACATTCTGCCTCCTCTAATGTACAGTTTTGTTTTCACTTTCTGCAAAGAGAGCTGCCAGTAGTTCACCCAGCCACTTTCTAAACAAATTCTGCTGCTAAAGCAGTGAAAGAGACATTATTGCCTACATTATTGCGAGCACTTGGCTCGCACACATACCTCATACCCCTCACCTTCTTCTGTTTCTCTCCCGTTGTTTGTCCCCACCCATCCTAGCAACGTAAACAGTCATTTTAGCAATTCCAAGTAGATTTCTGCGCAGATACGCTGCTTCTGTACTCTCTAGTCAGGAGTCAGGTGGCATTGCTTCCCCATGGCCATTGCTGTGTGTGTGTGTGTGAGAGAGAGAGAGAGAGAGAAGAGAGAGATATGAAGTTGAAGAGCTGGAATATGGTCTGAACTCTCTGGGTATATCCAGAAGGTGACGTTGCAGTGCCGTAAATGCCATTAATTTTAGTGGCATTGCGACTCCCTTTCTGGTGCAAGGTTTCAGGTTTCTCACCTTGGCACAGGTGTGGGGAAGGAGACTGGTAAGAAAGAATCAGGACCGTTCATTTTATTTTTTAACTATATTTTTATTGATTTCAGAAAGGAAGGGAGAGGAGAGATAGAGACATCAGTGATGAGAATCATCGATTTGCTGCCTCCTGCAGGCCCCCCACTGGGGATGGAGCTCACAACCTGGCCATGGGCCCTGACCTGGAATCGAGCTGTGGCTCAACCACTGAGCCACGCCTGCGAGCTTGTATGTTTCTTCTAGAACCCATTCCGTTGTGACTTCGCAGTTATCTGCAGCTTGTTTGATTCCTGCTTGTAGACCGGAAACCTCTGAAGGGCGGAGACTCACCTTACTCATCTTTACCTTCTAATCACAGTTCCTGGGGCTTGGTGGCTGTCCAGCTACTGTTAGATGTTAGAACAGTTGAAAAGATATGCTCACTTTCTCCCAGGAAAACACCAAGCCTCCTCCCTGACTCAGTCGATTGTTTCTGCTGACATGGTTGTCATATGTAATTAGGTTGGCTGCCCTTCAAAGAAAGATTCAGGTGTTTTCCCCCTCATTTTATTGCCTAAGTTCAAAGTACATATTGAGCTGAAATGCATACATGGGTGTACACACATGCACGCACACAGAGGGCCCTTTAGTTTCTTAAAACCTTCATAGAAAGAATTCAACTCCGAAGGCAGTGGGAGTATCTGGTAGAGTTGTGTGTCTATAGGGAGACTGATCTTGGAGGTTCATGAACCTGTTATTTTGGCCTAATAGTTATACTGGCTTCTCATTCCAAGTATTGGGCGCCTTTCAGGCAGGGGCAAAGCTATCATTCCTCTCCTTTGGTTATAAACAGTGTGGTACAGAACTCTCGCATCATCATGTATATTAGGCCATGTCCTTTGTCGTCAGACTTGAATTTCAATAATGGGCTCTGCTTCTTCTTTTTTTTTTTTTTTAATATATTTTATTGATTCTTTACAGAGAGGAAGGGAGAGAGACAGAGAGTTAGAAACATCGATCAGCTGCCTCCTGCACATCTCCCACATGCCATTGACAGGAATCGAACCCGGAACCTTTCAGTCCACAGGCCGACACTCTATCCACTGAGCCAAACCAGTTTCGGCAACTTCTTAATGTGTGTAACCTTGAGGTCTCAGTTCTCTCATCCATAAGATGCGGACAACACTTGATAAATACATAGCTCCTGAATTTGCTGTGTAGAGAAAATGCCTGGTATGTAGTAGGTGCGTGGTTAGTAAATACTGATTACCATTCTGAAATCACACAGCAGCGAGAGACTTCTTCTGTAACAGGGTAAAGGGCTTAAGGAAGTCCCTGGGGGAAAAGTATGTGGAAAATCACTTTTCCTGTTCTCATTGGAAACGTGGGGGAAAAGTTGCTGTTTTCTCTTGCAAAGACAACCGAAAGCTTGGTTTGTTCTGTCCAGGTCTGAAACCTCTGTTTGCCTGGGCCCATGGCATGGAAAGCCAGGATCATGGGCCACATAGAGGGTTTCACTGGGCCTCCCGCCCCGTGGAAAAGCAGTCCCTGCGTGGGAATGGACTCAGGGGAGCCATGGATGTACAGGTGCCTGCGGTTAACCAGGCAAAGCAACAGCATCAGTTCCCTCTCCTTTATTTTGTTCTCATCAGAAAGATACATTTTAAATATATATATTTTTATTAGAGGCCCGGCGCACAAAATTCATGCACGGGTAGGGTCCCTAGGCCTGGCCAGCAATCAGGGCCTATTGGGGCTTTCTGACTTGTGACTGGGGCCTCCCTTCCCCAGCTGCCAGCGGCTGGCTGGGGCCTTCCCCTGGCCTGGCCAGCAATCAGGGCCGATTGGGGCTTTCTGACTTGTGGCTGGGGCCTCCCTTCCCCAGCTGCCGGCTGGGGCCTTCCCTCGCTCCTGGACTCAGGGGAGCCATGGATGTACAGGTGCCTGCGGTTAACCAGGCAAAGCAACAGCATCAGTTCCCTCTCCTTCATTTTGTTCTCATCAGAAAGATACATTTTAAAAATATATATTTTTATTAGAGGCCCAGCACACAAAATTAATGCATCAATGATGAATCCTTGATCAGCTGCCTCTGGCTCGCCCCCTACTGGAGATCGAGTCCACACCCCAGGCACGTGCCCTTACCTGGAATTAAACCATGACCTCCTGTTTCATAGGTCGATGCTCAACCACGAAGTCATGCCAGCTGGGCGAGCTTTCATTTTTTTTTTTTTAAGTTTGTTCAAATTGATCAGCCGCAGTTCGGTATATATTGAAATACTCAGGGACTGTTCAGTGCCAGACACTATGCGGTACGTATGGTGACAGCTGAGATACAGTTGTCTGTTGTTTGGTAAGGGACTACGTCATATTTGCAAACAGTAGAGCTGGAAATGGAGTTTTAAGAAGTTTGGAAGATTGCTGTCAGAGTTCAGGGGAAGGAACGACTTCTAGGCAGGGAACTTGTATATCATGCGAGAAGGGCAGTGAGGCCATGTGGGTCCTCTAAGCAGGAGGCGGCTAACACTGTACTGTCTTCCTGTTCCGTGTATTTTCTCAAGGTCACGACTGCTGTGAGACAGTGAAGGTGCTGCTATGTGCTTCCAAAGAGGGCCTCCCCGTGTTTGTGGTGGCGGAAGAAGACTTTGAGTTCGTCCAGGACGAGGCGTATGATGCAGCCCAGTTCCTGGCCACCAGCGCTGGGAACCAGCAGGCGCTGAACTTCACCCGCTTTCTTGATCGGTCAGGACCCCCGTCTACGGATGTGAATTCCCTTGATGAGAAGGTGGCCCTCGCTTTCCGACACCTGAAGCTGCCGGCGGAGTGGAATGTGTTGGGGACCAATCAGACTTTGCGTGGTAAGAACTTAAATGACCCACAAAGACACGCTGAGTTTGGAATACTTACAGGGTCTTTTGGTTTGTTTGTTTGTTTGTTTTAATTCTCACTGGAGGATATTTTTTCCATTGATTTCCAGAGAGTGAAAGGGAGGGAAGAGGGGGAGAGAGAGAGAAATATCAGTGAGAGAGACACATCGATTGGTTGCCTCCTGCACTGCCCCCACCAGGGCTGGGGAACCTGCAACTGTCAGGAATCGAACCTGAGATCCTTCAGTCCATGGGCCGATGCACAAAACAACAACAACAAAGAAACCCCCGCACTGATGTTCCTCTTAGTCAGATAGAGGTTTTCCCACATAGTTATTCTGTGGCAGATGCCATCTACTAGATGCCATGGTTTTATATATAAATTCCAATGAAACAGCCTAAACCTGGGGTCCAATAAATAACATCCTCTCTCCCTCCCACGTTCAAATCCAGTTGAAAGAGTTAGCAGGTACACAGCGAGAGGTGGACATGTTTTTCTGTTACTGGTAAAGCTGGGTTGGAAGACTGACATCAGACCTCCTGCCCGAAGGATGTGCTGTCCTTTCTGCTTTATCTCTCAAAGAGCTGGACGGTCACAGGACTGCCCTTCAGTGTCCACCCAGCTTTGCTGACCGTGTTATTTAGGGAGCGCAGACCCGAAGTCACCCCCTCTGCAGGTAATAGATCCTGAGGAGGGATGCCCAGAGGAGGCCGAGCCCGGGGCATGCTCAGTTCCTGCTCCCACAGACCCATCAAATACACGCCTTCTTCCTCCCATGACCCCATGGAAGATTGGTGAGGGGTATGTGCCAGCTTTGCCTCTCTCGTATTCACTGAATTTAATAGTTAGTCTGTGACCAGCCGCAGAAATGCCGCCCCTACCCTCAGGGGCTTACTGTGGACATGCCAAGGCAGACCAGGTAGAACACAAAGGCAATGTAGACTCTACAATCAAATCAGGAAGAAATCACTATCCTGCCTTTTCCTTGCTGATACAGTGTCCAAGAACCCTCTGCAGTGCCAATACCTGGAGGTCAGAGTGTTTGCCCTTGTGCAGGCCGTGAGCGCCTCGCCAGACACCTCATGTTGGGGCCAAACACCCAGAGCCCCACTGTGTCTGCGCTGGCCTGGGACTGCTTATTCCGGTTGCCATTCATGAGTCTCTGTCAAGATGGGGTGCAGTAGTTACTTGTGGAGCTTCTGGTGTTTTTATGGTTTTGTTTCTTTGTTTCTTTAAAGAAGGCACGGGAGTTGGATAGTTTGTTCCTGTTACCATATCAACAAGAAATCCATTTCACCCTGAGCAACGTGGGTTTCAATTGTGCAGGCGTCTTGTACGCGTGATTTCAGTCTACGGGTGGGAATCCACCTGCACAGAAGGCTGACTGAGTTATATGCTGATTTTTGACTGCATCGGCGGTGCCCCTACCCCCTTGTTCAAAGGTCAAGTGTACTAGAAAAAGCGCAGGTCTGAAGCTTTAGGCGTCTCAGTTCCCCTCTCTGGGCCTTAGCTTCCTTGTCTTTAATAGGGAACTGACCAGCTTTAATTTTTTTGTGGACTTTCCGTGGACTTCTTAAGCTTCTATTGTATAATTGCTCAAGTAGTGCTAGCACAGGTTAAAGCAAATGTGAACACTTAGGAAAATGCATTAACATCACAGTGAGGTACCATTACACAGCTATGAGGAAAGCTAAGGTTAACATACCAAGTGCCAGCCCTAGCCGGTTTGGCTCAGTGGATAGAGCATAGGCCTGCGGACTGAAGGGTCCATGTTCGATTTAGGTCAAGAGCATGTATCTCAGTTGCAGGCTCGATCCCTGGCCCTGGTTAGGGTACTTGCCGGAGGCGACTAACTGATGTGCTTGCTCTCTCACGTCAATGTTTCTCTCGCTCTGTCCTCATCTTCCCTTCCACTCTGGGAGTGCAGAGTGATATCACCACTCTAGGAGATGGTTTGGCAGTTTCTTATAATGTCACATGTACATTTACTGTATGACCCAGCAATTCCACTTCTGCCTATTCCTCCTAGAGAACAGAAATCTTCCATTCACTCAAAAAATCTTCACACAAATATTGCCTATGGCAAGTTATTTATAATCACCAAAAACTGGAAGTAACCCAGATCTCTCTCACTCGGCGAATGTATAAACAAGCCGTGGTACATCCACACTTGAATATTACTCAGCAATAAGAACTATTGCCATGTGCAACAACTTGGATGCATTTGAAATGCATTGTGCTAAGTAAGAAAGTCAGTGTCCAAAGGGTGTTCACTGTATGATTTCATTTATGAGAGATTCTGGAAAAGGCAAAATTATAGGCACAGAAACTCGATTGGTAGTTGCCAAGTCTAGGAGCGGGGGGCGTCTGACAGCAGAGGGGTATCTGAGGGAATTCTTTGGGTGTTGGAATGGTTCTGCATTTTGGCAGTGGTGGTTATAAGAATCCATGCATGTGTTCCAAATCATGAGACTGTACAAAAGTGAATTTTTACATACATTAAAAATAATTAAAGAACAAATGAAAATGAACAAGTTAGGGGTACACTTTGCAAGGTGAAATGCATGGAAAGGTCTTAATATATTCCTGCCTTTGAGTCAACAACTGGGAGCAGGAATCTGGTTTCAAGGGCTGGATTCGAATTCTGCAGTTTTAACTGTTCAGTCAGTTGGGGATTAGAATCTACAAAGACTGAGTGTTTTAAGGGCAGAGTAGCTTCAGTTGAGAGGGGCTCGCTTGCTGTCCCGGGATGATGTAGAGGAACATTCTGCTCACGTTGAGTTGTACCTCTAACACTTTTTAAAAGTTGTTTAAAGAAAGAAGGTACCAAGTGAGCTTGTTGCCTGGGATAATGAAACAGGTAAGTAGGGCACTTGTTACCTAACAGGGCTCCTTGCTATTAAAGGCGAGGATATTTAGTGGTATTCCAGCTTAATGCTTGTACAAAGGCGTCATGTAAGGTTTGTGCTTAATCCTCATACTAATTGTTCGGATGTGGAGCTTTTACTTTTTTTTTTTTTCAGGTCAGTGACTCCTTTTAAAATAGCTCAGATTTCTCCTACGGAAAAAAATACATATAGGCCTGCAGAAATTTACATATAATTTCAGGGATTCATTGCTGCCTTGAACCGCAGGAATGGACGTGAAATTAAGAACTTCTGGTTTAGCTTTCCTATTGTAAACGGGAAAACATAGGCAGTGGAGTCAGTTTGTTTATCTCCTGGCTTCACTGCAAGGCTTTGTGCAGAATGCTGATCTGTTTCTCAGTTTCTTCACGTGTAAAGTGGAGGAAAATAATTTGGATCATGTGTGCTAGTGAGCAGAGCTGTGCATTTTGAACATACCGGGGCCAATATGCAGTAGCCTTTTAGAGACAAATTTGAGCTCTGATGAGGGAAAGGAACATGTCTTATAAAAGGAAAGAACAGCATAATGAGACTGTTTCTGTTTTGCTTTAACTTATTTCTAAAGTTAATCCTCACTTTAAACATGAGCAAAGAGAGCGTTTGTCCATTTGAATTCTTCTAAGTGTTCTTTAATCTCTAGTGGCCTAAAGCAGCCTGTTCTTTTAGCTTTAGTTCTCCCTTAAATACCAGTAAGGATTCATCTGGGAGGAGTGGATGGTGGGGTAAGGATGCCTTCCCTGTGAGTTACCAAGTATCAGTTGTTTTAGCTTTTTTTTAAAAATTGCATGTATGCATGTATTTAGTTAGTTAATCTCACCTAAGGATATTTTTTATTGATTCTTAGAGAGAGTGAAAGGGAGGGGAAGAGACAAAAAGAGAAACACCAATGTGAGAGAGAGACAGCGATTGGTTGGCATGAGCCCCGACTGGGGCGGGGATGGAGCCTGCAACCCAGGTACATACCCTTGACTGGAATTCAACCCAGGGCCCTTCTGTCTCAGGCCGATGCTCTATCCACTGAGCTAAATCTGCTAGAGCTTTTCTTTTCTTTTTTTAGAGTATGTTTTTATTGATTTCAGAAGGGAAGAGAGAGGGAGAGAAATAAAAACAAATGATGAGAGAGAATCATTGATTGGTTGCCTCCTGCACGCCCCCTACTGGGGATAGAGGCCACAACCCGGGCATCTACCCTAACCTCGAATTGAACCAGTGACCTGTTGGTTCCTGGGTCAGTGCTCAACTGCTGAGCCACACCGACTGGGCCAGTTGTTTTAGCTTTTTAATGCCTTGGTGGTGAGTGAAAATGATGGATTAATATGCTTTTTCCCCGGAAAGAACCCGGAACAGTAGCAATCAGCATACCTCTCAGGTCAGAGGGTGGGCCTATTGAAGGAGGAGAAACACGCCGGGGACGCCTCATTCTTAGTCAGTCGTGGCACCGTGGGACTAGGTGAAAAGGAAAGCTCATTGTCGCGGGAGGTGGGCATCCTCCCACAGAGAGAAGTTTGGGTGGAGAGGAGGAGGAGACAGGCTGAAGAAAGACTTTGCTGAAAACAGCCTGTGCGTTCTCAGTTCTGGGTATCTGATGTTGGTTAAGAGAACCTCAACCGTAATCATTTGCTCCCTGTTCCAAACTTGTTCCATAGGTGTTCATGGAAATTTTTCCTTAGCTGCACTCGCTAGTATTTATGTATTTTTCAGTTGTCATAGCTACTACAAAAGAAAATAATGAAATATGAAAAGACTGCTGAGGGATTTTTCCCTTCACAGAGGATTACTACTGTCCTGACTCCCAAGACAAGCAGTTTCTAGTAATGGCAGGACCTCAGCTCCACCAGGCTTTGTTGCCTGTCAAACCTTGATTCTGTCGCAAGATTACAAGTGTCATTTTTCCAAGAGCCCACATCTCACACCGGCCTTTTGTTCTCCTTCCCCACGGGGTGTAGACTTCCTGCGTCATACGAGCTTCAGGTGTATTTGAGAGGCAGTTCAGAGTAGTAGAAAGAATGTGGATATTGGCGTCTCATAGATAGAGATTCGGAAGTTACTGTAGCCGGGCCTCTGGGTGGATCGATGGGGTAAGAGAAGTACACATAGGCTTTGATTGCTATATTGTTCAGAGAACCTGCAGCGCTTTGCTTAGTTAGGAAATCTGGCAATTTGAAGAAGATGCAGCCACCTAGCATTTCATAGCTGAATTGCTCTCCGGGCACATCAGCTTTCTCTGCACATCTGGGCACGTATGTACGGGAGGTGCTTTCAGCATATGAGTAGATAGCAGGGGGGACCTAGGCATTTCCTATACCTGCTCTGTGGGTAAGAGCTGGGGCAACAAAGGGATTTTTCCAGTTGATGGTTAACCAGGAAAACCAACCAGCCAACATATGGCCTACAAAAGAACATTACAGCATAAAGGAAATGGAACATATCATGAGTGTTCAGATGGAAGGCTCTCTGAGTGTAATTTTCTTTAAGAAACGAAAGAAAAATTTAGAAGAGATTTTCCATTTGTCCTTTAAAAGATCGAAGAAGACAGGCTTCTAATGAAATTAGAGAAGGAAGCAGCAAGGAGAAAAATAGGTTTAATGAGTATGTCAGTCAGCTTTCAGCAGAGAATCACAACCATTAGGGGGAACAAGTATGTATTAAGATTTATTACAGGAAGCGCAGCCGGTATGTCTCAGAGGTTGAGACATAGGAACCAGGAGGTCACGGTTTGATTCCCGGTCAGGACACGTGCCCAGGTTGTGGGCTCGATCCCCAGTAGGGGGCGTGTAGGAGGCAGCTGATCCATGATTGTCTCTCCCTCTTCCTTCCTCTCTGAGATAAAAATATATTAAAAAAAAAATTATTATCGGGAATAGCTTGCGTGATTGTGGGGGCTCACTAAGCAAGCCCCAAATTTGTCGAGCAAGAATAGAAGGTCATGGGCAGGGAAGCTCAAACTCACCAGCGTGAGCCATAGTGTGGTCCTCAGACTGTGGGAAGGGGAGACGGAGCAGGATGGAGCTCTGGAGCGTAGACACCGCCAGCTCCCAGACACCGGCTCCCACAGGCGGGTTCTCTCTCCCGGGGAAACAGTCCTGCCTTCGAAGCCTTCCAACTGCCTCAGGCCCGCCGGCTTATCCGGGATATCTTCCTTATTAAATGAACTGATTAGGGCTTTAATTACATCTGCAGAGAAGCCATCACAATGAGGGCAAAGATGGACAGGGAGTTGGCTGACATGATGTGAGGACATCCAGCATCCCATGGCATAATTCAATTCAGACGGGGACAAAGGACCCCATTGACATCATAGGAAATGCAGTTAGTGGTCTGAAAACACAGTTGAGTAACTCTCAGAAGAGAGGAAAAATACAAAGGGACATCAGAGGAAAAATATATAGGTACAGAGAGGAAAGAACAGATTAATCCTAAATTGTAGGTTTAAAACTAGCGTTTAAACGGATGCAAAAGGGACAAAATCAATAACTTCCTGCTGGATCCCCATGTTGTGACCTACATCCACTTTTTAAAGAATATGTATATTTTTATTGATTTCAGAGAGGAAGAGAGAGGGGGAGAGAGAGAAAAAAATATCAATGATGACAGAGAATCATCGATCGGCTGCCTCCTGCACGCCCCTACTGGGGATCGAGCCCACCACCCGGGCATGTGCCCTGATCTGGAATCGAACCATGACCTCCTGCTTCATAGGTGGACTCTCAACCACTGAGCCACACCTGCTGGGCCACCCACTTTTTTTTGGTAAGGAAAAGAATATATGTGTGGAGCCACCCTTATAAATTAGCTCATATATCAGTTCATAGAACCGGTGTATTAAATTGGAATGTAGAAAAAGCTTGATCCTCATGTGGAACTGTCTCCTATTGGAGATTTTGCTCCTCATTTTTTTTTCTAACGTTATTTTGTTTTCCCTGGAGAGCTGTCTTTCCCCGGCCACTACAGAATCGTTCATGTTGTACGTTGTGGCCTTAACTTTAGGATCTTGGGTACTTGGAGGTCGTGGTGTTCACCCACCTTGCCTTTTTGTTGGTTTGCTTTTTTGTTTTTCACCTTCTCCCCTCGCTTCTCCACACCCTCTCCCCCTCTGCAGATGGCGGCCCCCGGGAGACACTGATGCATTTTGCCGTGCGGCTGGGCCTGCTGAGGCTCACGTGGCTCCTGTTGCAGAAGCCAGGTGGCCGAGGAGCGCTCAGCATCCACAACCAGGAAGGAGCGACACCTGCCAGCTTGGCCTTGCAGCGGGGTTATCACAAGTTGCACAAGCTCCTGACCGAGTAAGTGCTCGTTCTCCCTCCCCTTCCCTCCCCACCGACCCCACCCCTGACTCATGGTTGTACCACCCACTTGGCATCTCGGTGTGTTTGCTCCGTGCCCTGCCTTCCGCTGGAGGCTTTGTCAGCCTGCTCCTGCCTCACTGTGAGAGTGACACACGTAAGTCACACCACCGTTTCTCTCCCCTTTGCCTCCTGCCTGCACTGCTCTCGCCTTTTGTTGTAAGTCTTGTCTGTGGGGGTAGCATTCTATGGCCAGGTGTCTAGTCGATCCCTGTTTAGTACAGGAGGAAGGAGTTTCCCTGTGCCATACCTTTTTGGTGGTATGTCTCTGCCACTTGTAAGACTTCATTAGAAGTGAATACTTTAATATAACTGCATGCGGGAAATATACTGAACCACGGAGGTTAGGTTTGAATGTATTTCTGTGAATAAAATCAGAGCAATCATCTATTCGTATGAATAGCAGTAAAAAGCAACCGAGTTGTCTTGGAAATCGCTGTAGAATAGCCTGTGTGTGTGTGTGTGTGTGTGTGGATTCGGTTGTCATACAGTCTGACTCTTCAGAGAGTTTTCTGAAGAAAGGCTATTGGTTAAAATACTCGAATTTTTTTCCTTTTGTAAATAGAAAAATAAATGCATTATAACAGGCAACATTTTTCCATTGGAATATTTATAAAACGCAGAAATTTCAAGTACAGTTTTTATTGAATATATTTTTATTGTGTTATGATCATTGTCATCTTTCTGCTCCGTAACTGAAGAATGAACCTTGGATCCCTGGTCTTTAGCAATTGAGGGAATCCTTGTAAATTAAGTCAGTATTCCCTAATTCTCAGATGTTTTGCTCACGGCAAACTTCATTTAGTTGCAGTTCATAGTTGACTACTATTAGCTGTGAGTGTGGGACAGTGTACAATGGCCCAGAAGAGATCCCTGAATATAAAGCTACTTACTGTCATATCAACAGCTGTTTTTCTTGTTTCTGCTTTAGGTGTTACGCTTATAGCTTTCCCAGGCGAGCCAGACAGAAAGTTCTTTGCAGGAAGCTTTGTAATGGGTGCCGCAGATACAGTGACGGGAGGAGGGGCGCCCTTCATCTCAAATGAGAGGTGGATACTTGAGCTCCCCTATGACAGTATTCCAGAAGCGATATGCCCCATTCCTCCGTGCTTCCCATCTGGCCAGTGACTGGATTCCCTCTGCTCTTGCCTCAGGGCTCCAGAAGACAGGCCTCGTTCCAGTAGTTGAAACCAGTGACTTAGTATAACCATTAGGCGATTCCAGTGCAGTTCCCCTAACTGTGATCTCAGGGCCCCGAGTTTTGCTGGGAAGCAGGGTTGGTTAAGGATTGCCATCCAAATGGGGAAATGAAGCGATTACAACAGCTGCATTATATGCTGGTGAGGGTGTCACAAGACCTATTGCAGCACAGCTTAAAGGAAACTGGAGTGTGTGTTCTTGGAGAAGAGGTCTGGCTTGCTTCATGGTGCCTCCCCTGTTACTGTGTGAAGACCACTCATCCCACAATAAGAAAGGGAAACAAAGGGGAAGCCAGATTCGGAAACCTGCACAGAGGCCCGCATGAGAGAGTGTGAGCACGGTGCTGCAGGTCCAGCCTCGGCCTGGGATTCTGCTGGCTCTTCCTCTAGGTTGCGGTTCTGTCACCTAGAAAAAGTGCTGGGTCATAATTAGCCATTTAAAAAGCTTGTGGGGTGATTTTTACTCAATCCCCCAGTCTTACTGTGGTATTAGTAGACTCTGCTAGAATTTCAAGGAAGAGTGGGTTGCTTTGAGAAATAAATGAAAGAATGCTTGGAGAGCCCTAGCCGGTTTGGCTCAGTGGATAGAGTGTTGGCCCACAGACTGAGGGGCCCCAGGTTCGATTCCGGTCAAGGGTACATACCTCAGTTGCAGGCTCAATTCCTGGCCCTGGTCAGGGTGCGTGCGGGAGGCAACCAATGGATGTGTCTCTCTCACACCGACATTTCTCTCTCTGTCTCTCCCCCTCCTTTCCACTCCCTCTAAAAATCAATGGAAAAATATCCTCTAGTGAGGATTAACAACAACAAAAGAATGCATGGAGCGTGCATAGCATAGTGACTGACAAAAATATTCTCTCTTATTGCCCTTTTCTTAATTTTCCTCCTTTTCCTCTAGGTCTGTATCAGTTTTTCATCCATTAAGGACATTTTTCCAAAATCTTGAAATGTTTCCAGGCAGCATTTGGATGTCCCTACTTGATAAGAGTTTGAAATTATTCCCAAGTGTAATAGATATCACTTTAAAAGAATTAGTTTGGCTCTCTGACACTGGCTGTGATGTCTCGATGACTCTGGGTTGATGGCACAGGGAACTCTAGGTCGTTAAGGAATCATTTACAATGCGGCCACCATTACAAAAGGAATATTTCTCGTAAGGATTTTAACTGCGGAGTATTGACATAAAAATGGCGAGATATTTCATTTGTCCAAAGAGCGAGTGCCAAAATGTTTTGTCCTCATAACCATCTCATTTTCAGTATCAGTTCAACAACTCTTTATTTATCGAATGCCTGCAGTGCATTGTTGATTGTTATAGCTAATATTTCATTTCACCCTATGACACCCTTTCTCATGTAGGCATTATGTGTATTTTACTGATGAAATATGAAGGCTCAGAGAACTAAAGTGACGAGCTCAATGCTTCATAGAAAAGTGATCAAGCTGCTGTTACATGCACATCTGTGGAATTCTGAGGCCCGTATTACTCCCTCTACAGAAATAGGACAGACGCAGGAAGAGGCCACTGGGATAGAGTATGACTGGCACGTGATGAGGAAAAGGCTCTAAGTTTTCCTAGCCTCTCCTTGCCTGAGGGGAACAGGAGTCTCAGTACCATAGTTTGATGTTTCTATTACCCATCAGATGGGTTTAAACGTATTGTTGGTTACATTTAGCCAGTCTTTTTGTATTTCATTCCTGTGACAATTTAATGAGTGAGTACGGTAGGTATTACCCCGGTTTAGTAATTGAGGAAACTGAGGCCAGAGAGATGAAGTGAGTTCCCAAAGTCCTAAGGCTACAAGTAACAGAACCAGGCCCAGGATCACAGGCCTGTGGTCTGCCCAGTTTGGGATGACACGTGTGCACAGAGCGCAGACCCAGCCTGGCAGACCCTAGGCCGTGAGTCATGGTCCACTGTGGTGGGCGATGCTGGCCCCTCTCAGAGAGTTAGTGTCTCTCGTTTCTCAGGTCCTTCTTTGGACACATTTGCACTTGAAACCTGGGTTCAGGTCAGAGGGTAGAGCAGCTACTCAAGTGTACGTATTTCACAATGGAGCCGAGTGCAATTGAGCAAGATGTTCTGTTAACATAGGCTTGCCTCCTTATGGTCCCTGCAAGGACTCGACAAGTGGGTCCTTCGTAGCCCATCGGGTGCATGGCCAGTTTGGAGCCTTTGCTTTTCCTCAGCGGAGGAAAGAATGAAGTAAATGTACAAATGTACCTTCCACATAATAGCCAGGGTTTTTAAAATATGCTTTACATTCATCTAGCCTGAGTCACACCCATCTGTCCACCTGTCCATTCGTTCACTTATCCATGTATTCATCCATCCATCTTCCTGCCCTCCTTTCTCACCATGTGATCGGGTCTCTGTCTCTTGGTAAAGATACGGTGCTGCCGAAACCGGTTTGGCTCAGTGGATAGAGCGTCGGCCTGCGGACTGAGGGGTCCCAGGTTCGGTTCTGGTCAAGGGCATGTACCTGGGTTGCGGGCACATCCCCAGTAGGGGGTGTGCAGGAGGCGGCTGATTGATGTTTCTCTCTCATCGATGTTTCTGGCTCTCTACCTCTCTCCCTTCCTCTCTGTGGGGAATCAATAAAATATATTTAAAGAAGAAGAAGAAGAAAAAAAGATACGGTGCTGGGGCTGGGTGGAAAGTAGGAAGTGGGGGAAGGGCAGTGGCATTTATTAAAGAGTGAGTATCTGCTACATTGGTGCTTTACAAATTCTCATTAAATTTCTCAGCAGACATCTAAAGTGTGGTCAGATTAGTACAGTCAGTACTGTACTCCACAGATGAGGAGAGAGACCCAGAGAGGCTACATACCTTGCCCAAGGCTATGTAGGTAACAGTTGTCATGATTCACAAGCCTGTTCTTTTTAAGGTTTATTGATAGGATTTTATGAGCAGTCGTGTTTGGTGACACTGTCAGTCTTTTAATCAAACTGATTCCTCTGATTCATAGATCTGGTTTTCAGTGACTTGTTTGGTAAATTTCCCACTGAAGCATTTTAAGAATTTTGATATTTCCTAGTTTCTGTGTGTGTGTGTGTGTGTGTGTGTGTGTGTGTGTGTGTGTGTGTTTTCAAAGCCATTCAAATAATAATTTCAGGATTTCTCTAAAGGCACTTTCTGAGGATAACCCTTGTATTTATGTAACAGGAGCACCAGTTGCCATCTGTATTTCTGCTCGGCATTTTGCATAAATTCTCATATATTTTATCCTCTCCCCAACCCCTAGGGTAGTGATGGCGAACCTTTTGAGCTCGGCGTGTCAGCATTTTGAAAAACCCTAACTTAAGTCTGGTGCCGTGTCACATATAGAAATTTTTTGATATTTGCAACCATCGTAAAACAAAGACATATTTTTGATATTTAGTTTATATATTTAAATGCCACTTAACAAAGAAATCAACCAAAAAAAATGAGTTCGCGTGTCACCTCTGACACGCTTGTCATAGGGTCGCCATCACTGCCCTAGGGGGGTGGGCATTATATCCGCTCTTCACCAGATGACCGCGTAGCTGGCAAGTAATGGAGCAGGAATCGGAACGAGGCTGTAACGCCCCATGGACTTTGTCACACTGTCTGGACTCTCTGAGAACATGGGCTGGTGTGGGAAGTGGGCTGCAGCAACAAAGCCGTTCCATAGTCTTGTTTTCCTTCGGTCCACTTCTCTTCCCTCCCTGCTGTCCGCAGGCAAATGGCCCAGCCTATGAATGTTTCGGCCTCAGAGGTTTTCTTCAAAGAGCTGTGAGGTTATACATCTTAGCCAATGAGAACACATTCTCCATGGCAACAGCGTGTGGTTTTGAAAATACTTCTGACTTCGCGATAGACCTTAGTGGAAGAAAACATGAACCTGTGATAAGACTTGACGTTTGCCTGTGAGCAAATGAAGGATCAGTTGGCACCTTCCATCCTCTGAAAAGCACAAACCTTTAGGAACCATCACACCTTGGTGGTGGTGGTGGTGGTGGTTCAGTTTTGAAGTTTTCTTGAAGTCATACAAGTGAGTTGAAAATTTTACCTGCATTTATTAAGAGGAGTAAAAATTACTCTTTTTTTAAAATCTAAATTCTTTATTGTTTCAAGTATTACATAAGTCTCCTTTCCCCCTCATTGGCCACTCCCCGGCTGCCCCCACCCCCCAAAATTATTCTTTTTAAAAATAAGAAAAGTCAGTGGAAAAAATATCCTTGCGTGAGGATTAACAACAACAGAAGATTAAAGGAGAGTATGCTTGTGAAGTTCTTAGGAACGTAGATGTCCCTTTATTTGGAGACCTAGGAAGAAATACTCATTGGCAATAAGGTGACCCCCAGCCGTGAATGAATGTGGCACGGCTGCTCCACCATCAGTTTCTGACATACTTTTGCCAGGTCAGTGCCACCCCACAGCTGTAATGCTATCTCTTGAAACACTAGGGAATTAAAGCCCCATTTTCCCCTCGGATTTTCGGGAGTAAATAGTTTAGGATGACACCTGTGTAGTTGCCTGACAGTTACCTCCCAGACTCCTGTTCCTTTTTTATTTTTAATGTCTCATACTCAGAAACTTCCTTCTTTTCTGTTCTTTAGAACTACAGCAGCCAATACCATGTAGTCGGTTGAGCACTTTGGGAGGGCCAAGCACTAGGCCAACCCTTTCCATGCATCTGATCTCACAATAAACTTGGTATTCTCACTTTACAGATGAGGGCATTGCACTTCAGAGAAATGAAAGTAACTGCTCCCCCCCCCCATTCAGGAGCTGGCTCTCTAAAGAAATTTCAATTGTTGTACTATTGATATTTGGCTCTGTTGACTAATGAGTTTGCTGACCACTGTCCTAGGGCAAAGGAAACTAACAAGAAAACAAATGGGACTGCATCAAAATAAAAATCTTCTGCACAGCAAAAGAAACCACCATCAAAATGAAAAGGGAACCTACTGTATGGGAGAACATATTTGCCAATGATATATCTGATAAGGGCTTAATATCCAAAATATATAAAAGACTCATACAACTCAACAAAAGGAAGATAAACGCCCCCCCCCCCCCCAAAAAAAAAAGGGGGAAGAGAGAAACCATCAGTGCTAAAATTTCTAGTGAATTTGCATGTGCATGAATCCACAACTAGCCTAGCAGTGAGTTCCCCACAAACATCTAAGATGGTGAGTAGCCTCCTGTTCATTTTGGGGGTGTCGCTGATTCCCCTCCCCCCTCCCAATTTAGCTTCTGTCCATGTAGGTGGCGTTGTGGTGGAGTTGGTAGGACTCCTTGAGGGTGGCACTGTGATGGTGATGTGGTTTCGTGAAAGATACTGCAGTGGCCCGCAAATGAGGAACTAGGTGCTGCACTTCCTGCCAGAAGGAGCAGCAAACACGCCTTTGGGCAGGGCCGACCTGGCCCCGGCTCTCCACCCTTAAAGCTGCAGTATGCGGCACGGACCCACGTAGAATGGGCTTGCGATACTCGTGGTGTGTGGGCAGCCACAAGTGAGTACAGACTGACACCTTGTTGATCTGCGTCGTCTATTCTCTGACATTCGATCTGACTTTGTTGTTGTACCTCAGCAGATGTATCTTTGAACTTCTCCCCTGAATGACTAATGCTGTTAGTACTAGAAAACATGGTTTTTTCTGCAGTTGGTTTGACAGGGTTTACAGTATGTTAACATCGAATTTGAACTTTCTCGTGAGGTACACCATGCTGAACAAGGTAGGAAGCAGAGGCTGGTTGGCTGTTGATGGTTGTATCGCAGCTAGGACACTGGGAAGTTGGCTGGCGTTCACTCTGGGCTTATTGGATGTTATGTACCACATACATAAATCTTCACTTTCGGAACCAGACGTGGATATTCAGTTTGGATGCTGGAACCCCAGTGTCGGAGGAGTGGCCTCTTCATTGTGGTTTCCTATGGTTGAAAACTTGCTCTGGATCCTGTAAAATTTATGATAACAAAACCCAATTCACATACCTGATGAGCTTCTCATACATATTATGTCAGACTTGCAGTTGATATTATTTGAATGTGGTCAGAGTTTGAAACTATTATAGTCTAGGTATCACTGTGGAAGTGGAAAGTCTGGGTACAAATTCTGGCCTTTCATGCACTAGCTTTGTGTTTTAATAATGGCTACGTAATAGTCTGTAAATCTGTTCTTTAATTTAACAAACTGCCCTCTCATTACTGACTCGGCTAGGTCGCTTCTAACTTTCAGTGCTATTATACTTAAAGTTGCAGTGAATATTCTTACACACAGAGCTCTGCCAGGTTTATTAGTGGGCCAGGAAAGGTGTACACAGTACGGAACACAGCAGAAAAGGTACTGGCTTCAGTGTTACCTCGGTGAGGTCTTCCCTGACCCGCCATATTTAAAATCGCAACCCTCAGACCTGCTTTATTTTTCACGTGGCTCTTGCTGTCTTCCAGAATCCTAGGTGTTTTATTTACCTGAATGCTCTTGTCCCCCTTGTTACGGGAATAAGCTCCCGCAGGACATGGGTTTGGTTTGTATCACCAGCACCTAGAATAGAGCCTGGCATGTGAGTACTTGCTGAATGCGGGGGTCTACCCAGACCTGCCAACAAGATCGGTTGGAGGAGTGTCGGAGTTCATGGAAGAATTGCAGTGGGAGAAGAATTGCAATGATAGTCTTTGGTCTCTAGACGCGCTAGGAAGCAAGAAAAGGCCACAGGGACAGTGAACTGGGAGCCTGGAGGGTCAGCTCTTGGAAGTAATTATAGCAACAGAAGCACATTCCTCTGGCAGGAGAGCACGGGAGAGGTAGATGGTCAATGGGTGGTGGTTGTAGAAGGGAATTTCCCAAGGTTTACGTATTAGTGGCAGGGTTAGTAGGGAACTAATTTTGCTGGGAAGGGACTCTATCACTTTTTGTTTCTGCCTTAACAAAGAGCCTCCTGAGTGGTGGTAAGTAGAGCAAGTTATGCCATCAAAGGCTTCTTATTGGAGAACTAGAGGCCCAGTGCACAAATTCGTGCACAGGTGGGGTCCCTTGGCCTGGCCTGCCATCGGGGCCAGCCAGCTGGGGGGAGGGACCGTGGGAGGTTGGCTGGCCATAGGAGGTTTGCTGTGGGAGTGCACTGACCACCAGAGGGCAGCTCCTGTGTTGAGCATCTGCCCCCTCGTGGTCAGTGCGCATCATAGCAACCGGTTGTTTGGTCGCTTAGGCTTTTATATCTATAGATGTCTCTGCGCTAATCTCAGTAAGCAGATATGCCAGTAAAGTCTGTCAGACAATTAAACAGAGTTAGTGACATCATCAAACCAAGCTTCCAAGTTAAATTTACAGCCCAGCCTGAGTGGCTCAGTGGTTGAGTGTTGACCCAGGAACCAAGAGGTCACCAGTTTGATTCTTTGGTCACGGCACATGCCCAGATTGCTGGCTTGATCCCCACTAGGGGAGATGTAGGAGGCAGTCGATCGATGATATTTCATGCTTTGAGGTCTAGCTGAGAAATGCTTTTCCACATCCCTGTACCTTTGTCAGCTTTATTTGTACAGGAGGTAGGTATATTTGAATGATATGAGTTGAGCAAAGCTCTGTCTTTTAATAAAAAAAAAACTTGAACTCGTATTTCTTATAACCAAGGCTTCCTTCAAAATAGGATGTGATCACCATATTGACAAGGAGAACATGATACGGCATTGTAGTAGTTTTCTCTATGTGGACGACTTAAGAATTTTGAATGTGCTTCCTCCGCCTACCGTTAACAACAGTTGGAGTGCCCTTGCATTGCATGGGTGGGGAGATAGGCTCTTCCGTACCCCATATAACCGTCTGTGGTGTAGCCAGTTTTAAGAGAAATGTCTAACAAGCCTGGCTTCTGTTGAAAACCAGGCTAGAGTCATCCTCCTTACATTTCCTCATTATTGGGTTGTTAGCATAACATTAACTATTTTAAGAACCCAGATTTCTTTTTATTTTGATCAAAATGACATCCTTAGGGAGGAATCCTGTAGTTTTTATTTAACCCATTTATGGCCTCATGAGGAGGATGGAACAATTAGTGAAATCCCAAATCACTGGGGAACTGTCCAAACCAGATTTCTCCGGCAGAGCCTCAAAGAGCAGTCAGGGCCCGGCCAGTGTGGCTCAGTAGTTGAGCGTTGACCTGTGAACCAGAAGGTCACGGTTCCATTCCCGGTCAGGGCACATGCCCGGGTTGCGGGCTCGATCCCCAATGTGGGGCGTGCAGGAGGCAGCCGATCAATGATTCTCTCTCATCATCATTGATGTTTCTCTCTCTCTCTCTCTCTCTCCTTCTCTCTCTCTCTCTCTCCCCCTTCCTCTCTGAAATCAATAAAAACAAATTTAGAAAAAAGAAATGCAGGTCAAAGATGGGCCATTCCCTAACGTGGAGGAGTCAACATTTAAACGGCGTTACCCTCGCCTGAGAAGCCTTCTGGGTTGACTGGCAGCAGCAGCTTCCTTCCTCCGGCCTCCTACCCCCTCTCCTTCACCCGCCCCCCCCCCCATGGTGG